TAAATATAAATAATATATATTGAGATAACTGACATTTTGAATATGGATTATAGATTAGACAATCATATGATATCCATATGAAATCTCCAAATTCCTTACCTATTAAATGTCCTGGTTTTTATAGGAGACATTGTCTGTCTCAGGAAATAGACATTGAAATATTTAGGTAGGTAGGTAGGTAGGTAGGTAGGTAGGTAGGGATGTACAACTTATTCTCAAGTGGTTCAGAAAAAAATCACATGTATAGGAGAACGAATGATAAAGTAATCAGGGGAAAATATAAACAAAAAATATAAACAAATAGTGAATCTGGGTAAAGGGTGTATAGGAGGTCTTCATACTAATTTTTTAATATTTTTGTAAGATTAAAATCATATAAAAATAAACATGTACAACAACAAGAAATAAATAAATAGGTGACACTTTCTAACGATAGCAACAAAAATTCTCCTAAGCAACAGGTCTAAGTAGGAAATTAAGAACATGATAATAATTTTGGAATATTATAAAATTGAAAACATCACCTATCAAAAATGAGGGGGATGTGAACAAATCAAGGCTGAAAGGAAAAATGTAGATGCATTTTAGAAATATGAAATAAGTGAACTAAGCACTTGATTTAAAATCTTATAAAAAGAGGACTCAACATAAGGGAAAATAGAAAGAAAATAATAAAGATGAAGGACAGAAATAAATAAACTAGAAAACATAAAATCAGTGGACATATATAAATATAAATGCTCATTCTCTGTAAAGATTATAAACTAGATTAAACCCCTTGGAAATACAATAAAAAAATTTTTTAAGTAAAAATCAACAAAATTTAAAATGAGACTGGTGATTTAACAATTGACAGAAAGGATTTTAAAATATAAATGATTGCAATGCACAATTTATGATAATCAATTCAAAATATCTAGCCAAACGGACAATACAAAATATAAAATATAAAACTGGCAAAACAAGATGTAGAAAACATGAAAATAATAATTAAGGAAAAGGAAATTGAGAAAGTGTTAAAGAGCTACCTCATTCACCAAAAGAAATACGGCTTAAACAAATTTACTGAACAATATTTCTACATATTCAAGAAATAATTTTTTCCATATTATGTAATCAATTCCAAATCATGGAAAAACAAGACCTGATACCCAATTTATCTTAGGAAATGAGTATCATACTTATCCACAAATCTGTGAAAAATACCACACATATACAAACACATACATACACACAGACATGCATAAACACACGTCACAGGATGAGAATTCTAAGATAAGTGCCAATTCCAATAAAACTGGTTTGAAAAGATTACAACCAGGCTCAGGCACATAGTAGATTTTCCAAAAATAGTTGTTGGATAAGTGAATAAATGAATATATCAATATGTGAATGAAAAAAGTAATG